TAAATACATCTTAAAAAAAAATCAGTGTTGAATAAAGATAGCCAAATGTATTTTCTAATGGCTGGCCATCGAGATACCTGTCCACTCCGTTTTCTGGTGCCTGGATTGTACAGCTGTCTACTTACATAGCTCAGTCCCGAGACCATCTCATCGCGCACATCCAAGCTGACATTCACAAAGTCACCAGAAGAGTGGGAGACCCAGAATGTGTTCTTCCTGGTCATTGTTCAGTTGTTCTGCCAATTCTTTGGTTCCCAGAGTCAGAGAGTCTGAAAATACAGGTAAGAACAGCTTGGCTCCTGCCCGGAGCAGCAAGGAGGGGCCCACCCACCCTGGCCAGAAAGCATTCTCAGGGGGCCTCGTCACGGCATCTGCTCTCTCTTCTGCCTGTAATTGTTAGCAAGCAAACTGAGGGGGCAGTCTGAGACCCCAAATCTGCCTGCCTTAAAAGGGTTCTGCCATCCATGGCATAAACATAAACAGAAACCATGCTCAGTGTACAAAATCTTCTGTAGGAAAAAACTTCAATACCATTAGAGTGCAACCGAGACAAGAGAAAGGATAAAGTTAAAATAATTTCCAATTAAACACCCGAAGTTACCCATCCCCATGCTGGTAAATGTCCAGCCAAACAGGGTCGGCCCAGGGCAGGGCCATCGAGGCCAGAAAGTTTGCCACGTCTCAGGCCCCTCCTGGTGGAGACCCATGGGAGAGGTGGGGCCCAGCAAAGCTGGGAGGAAAAGAGCAGAGTCAAAGTATCAGTCAAGATCAAGGCTGCCATTGTCAGCTCCGCACCGACTCTCACCCACATTGCTGTCTCTTTCAAATATCTCCTCCCATGTTCCTCAAGTCCCTGGTGCAAGCCCGAGGCCGAGAAACAAGTGCAGCTTCTCCTTCACATGCCCCTGCTCCACATGCCTGCTTCAGGCCCTGCTTGTTTTCTTTCTTCCCAGCCTTCCTCCAGGCTCCTCCTTTGTCCTTCTTGCTTCTCCTGGGTGCTCAGCACCACCCTTCCTAGGGTGAGGTAGGGAACCTGGAATCTCCCCCTTTTGCAGCATAGACTGGGGGCCCCCCTTCTTTGACATCTACTCAGGCCTCAGCCCAAGAGCACTTAGGGAAAACTGCTCTAACCATCCACTCGCCTTGGGCTAGGGCAGCTTTCTGTGCTGTAGAACAAGGCCTTCTCCTACCACTCGTCTCCTCCTGTCCCAGCTTGTAACTGTGCATTTATGTGAATTGTTTAGAATATTTCCTGCACTGGACAAGAGCCTCATGTTCGCTGTCGAATCTCTGGTGCCTGGGACAGGGCTGGGAAGATGGCAGGTACTTAGTAAATCAATGATGGGTGGGTGGGTAAGTGAACGAAAGAAATGTGGTTGTGCCATTTTCTGTCTGGGTTTTCACAGACTTACAGAGTGGGTCTGGGCACAATTTAGTAGTCTTAAATAATCAAGACATGATTTAAAATGTATTCATGTGCTTTTCACATTCGCCATTCTGAGCATGTGATTCACTCCCAGCTCATGTCTCTTGGGCTCAAGAAGCGAAGAGGTGGTTATCATAAATACTTCTGAAGGGATAGAAAGAGAAAGTGCCTAACAGGGCCAGTGTGGAGGGGTACAACCCTGCAACATGGAGTCCCCAATTCGGGAGGGCCCCAGGCTTGGATTAACGCTCTCCTTTCACCCTTCTAAAATTCTTAGGACATTTGAGTAAGAAATTTTCTATTTTCATTTTGCAACAGGTGTGATAAATGATGAAGCTAGTCCTGGGGTTCTGATATTACTGCACAAACATTAATTTAAGTAAATTAATTTGCAGGTCTGTCTATGGAGCTGGGAGAAGATTGTGTAAATAACTTTATACCACTGTCTCCTAACCTACGTCCCTTTATCAAAGTGCTACAGAATTTGACGAACTCAGTTTCTGGAATTCTCCCATAGAGCATACAAAACAGACTCTCCAGTCAAGGCATCAGGTCAAAGAAGCAAATTTGCCATACAGTGAAAGAAGTGGATCTTTCATGGATGATGAAAAAGAAAGATAACGTGCTCGGGAAGAGAGGGCACTATCCATTCCTTGATTAAAGTCCAGGAAGAGACCAGTGTTCTGGCTACCAAGAACCTGAGTCGGACAAAGACACTGTAAAGTAAAATTGGCATTACTCAATAGCAGAAGGCCCCGAGGGTAAGATCAGTGCATCCTGTTGCACAATGTAGTCACTATACAAAGTGGCCGTGGAGAGAGGAGTAGGAGTTGTAGGAGCAGTGGAGACAGCAAATTCTAGATTGCAAGTCATGCACGTTGGCAAGGGCTGTGTCAGTGGTGTGTGGCTGAGTGTCCTTTACTGACCTAGAATTGGAATAGGTGAAGAGGTCCCACATGAATGCTGCTTGACATTTTGCTTTATTTCAAAGTGTCAGAGGACAGTGGTCTTTAGAGAAGTGTGTCAGCGGAACCCTAAGTCATTGGTCAATGAGCTGAGTATTCTTGCAGAATAGCTGTCAAAGAGTGAAAGGCTGTTTCCTGCTTTTTAGTGCTCCTCATAGTGGAATGACTAAAGTAGTCACCCACTTGTAAATTTAATCTGGTTTTTGAACATTTCCTGCATTTTTTTCCTTTTTAATTGATTTATTTTAAAGAAAGGACCAATGATTGATAGTCCTGTGTTTATATCTTAGACAATAAAACAATGAAACAAGTCCTGACTCTCAGCCGTTGATGATTTTGGGGGTATAGATACTCCCGACATACATGACTTCAAGCTAGAGACTACTACCAAACAGATACAATAGATATAGATAAACACAAAAGTAGAGAAAGGTCATAAAGTAACCTGAAAATCACACATTTTAAGTATGAACATTGTTTTGACATAATGTATTTAGCTTTAATTTACATAGTTTCATTTCTAATCATGTTTTCATTTAACAACTGGATGTTCAAAATTTCTGGAAATTTGACAGTAACTGTCTCATTCATCAGCATGACCAGGTTCCGGCCAAGCACTGTTGTATCCATCTAGAAAAAGTGATAATTTGGGATTAAGATGTCCCCATCAGGGACATCTTTTCCCAGTTCACTTCTAAAGGTGCTAAGGACCAGCTGGGCTGGAGCTGTAGCTTCCCCAGAACCCTGTGGGGACAGAATAAGAAGCAACTGTGAGTGTAGGTGGAGGACTTGCTTAGTGGATTTTCTAGAACCATGGCAGGTTCTTGGAGAGGAAGATGGCTCAACAGCAGCGGGCAACCCTGAGAGGCCGGCAGGACGGTGAGCAAGCCAAACAGCATCTCCTGCAGCTTGGACCAGACCCTCCCCAGGCAGTGACCAGACAGACAAACGATGTGGATAGAAAAGCAGAGGAGCAGAGCACACAGTTTCAGAAAACAAACTCCCCCTCTGCCATGTGACAATACTGAAATGGGGTTGGTCTTTATTGGGAATTATTTAAATGACTGGATTAGGGCCTCCCTGGTGGTGCAGGACCGAGCTGGGGGTTAAGTCTTAGCACTATGAAGCTATCACCAGCCACTGCAGTACACAACAGTTCGATTCCTGACCAGGGAACTGACCTCATGGTGCAGCAGACCATCCTGTCTGTCCCGCTGCTCCCCTCAGCAGTGTATTTCAATAGATCCACTTGTTCTGTTCCCCACTGTGTTTCTGGTGAATCCTCTCACCCTCTGCACCTCTGGCCTAAACCCCAGACCTTCTACATAAAAATAAATAATTTTTTTAAATAAATAACTGGATTAAATAAGATCTAAAGATGATAGGTCTAAACAGTAACTTTTCCCCCTCCCAAACTGAATGGAGACTCATGAGGAAGAAAGATTCTAAGAGACCAAATAGAGACATTAGATGTTATCTCACCTTTCAGTTACAGTACGACTTGTCAGCCTGGTTTACTTATTCCACCCGCCAAGAGGAGGTTTCAAGTCCTGACTCTTTTATACCGGAATTTATTTCGGAAACTAACAGGAAAAAGTGAACCAAATGCAAATGTGTGGGATAGATGTGTTTGCTGAACACAAATTGCTCATCCACAGTAGCTTGGGCTGACAGCCAATCCCACAAGGCCCACCTCTGGGTTGCTTGGCTAGCCAGGGAAATTCCCTGGGAATTGTCAGTCTTTCAACTCCCAGCTTCCAATAGAACTCCAAACTTTGTTATAGGAAGAAGCAGGAATGTATATGCTCTAATGAGGGAGAGGACAATCATGGCAACCCAGTAAGAATCAGGATATAAGTGGAAATAAAACAAAAGGAAACAGATGTGTTCAGGCAAGTGTTCTCCCATCCCTAGCAGCAATGGTCTCGAAAATAAACTTATAAAGTTGGTATTGAATCAGGTAATTTGCATCTGGAAAAATAGCCTATGAACAGGAGGGGTTCGCAGGAGCAAGGAGACAGGCAGCAAGGGCTTTATAAAGGGGCTGGTTTATTTCCTCCTTGTTTTTACCCCCTGGCCAAGAGGGTCTAATATCTAGTATCTAAGGTCTGAAGTGTACAGGATGGTAAGGACAGTGCCCAGGAGAAGAGAGCAGAAGAGTGTGCAAGGGAGCCCTAAGATGTTTAGGTGAAAAACTCCACAGAAAAACTAGTCAAAACCATCAACCAGTTTAGCAAGGTAGCAGAATATAAAATCAACACACAAAAGTCAGAGGCCTTCCTATACACAAGCAACCAATCAGAAGAAGCCGAAATAATAATAATAATAATAATAAATCCCCTTTTCAATTAAAACTGAAAGAATCAAATACCTGAGAGTCAACCTAACAAAAGAGGTAAGAGACCTACACAAAGAAAATTACAAAACACTGTTAAAAGAAACACAAGAAGACACCATGAAATGGAAAGACATCCCCTGCTCATGGATTGGGAGAATTAACATCATCAAAATGGCCATCCTACAAAAGCAATATACAGATTTAATGCCATCCCCATAAAAATCTCAATGACATTCTTCAAAGAAATAGAAAAAATATTGATGAGACTCATGTGGAACAACAAAAGACCTCAAATAGACAAAACTCTCATGACTAAGAAGAAAGAGATGGAGGCATTACAATCCCAAACTTCAAACTATACTACAAAGCCATAAAAATGAAAACTGCATGGTACTGGAACAAGAACAGACCTATTGACCAGTGGATTCGGATAGAAAACCCAGATATAAACCCACAGGTTTATGGGCAGCTAATCTTTGACAAAGGAGCAAAGAAAATACAATGGAACAAAGAAAGTTTGTTCAGCAGGTGGTGCTGGGAAAACTGGGGAGCTACATGCAAAAGAATGAAAACTAGATCACTACCTCACACAATACACAAAAATCAACTCGAAGTGGATTAAAGACCTAGACATAAGAATGGAAACCATTAAATACCTGGAAGCAAAGATGGGCCAAACACTACACAACATATACTTCAGTGACATCTTTAAAGATAAGTACCCAATGCAACAATACAGCACCCAATCCAACGATAGTGAAGGCAAGGATAAATAGATGGGACTACATGAAGTTAAAGAGCTTCTGTACAGAAAAAGAGACATTATAAAAGACAGACATCCCACTTATTGGGGAAAATTTTTCTCCAATCTAGTGATAAAGGATTGATCACAAAGATATACATAGAACTGATGAAACTCAACAAAAATAAACAACCCCATCAAAAAATGGGCAGAAGAGCTAAAAAGACACTTCTCCAAAAGGGAAATGCAGATGGCCAACAAGCATATGAAAAAAATATTCAACATCACTTGTAATAAGGGAGATGCACTGGTGGCAGAGCGGTTAAAGCACAGCACTAGGAAGCTAAAGCCACTTCAGCATGAGTTAGATCCCTGGCCAGGTAGGTGAATCCTCTCATCGCCCCTGAAACTCTAACCTGTACGCCAGTTTTGTATGCATTAATAAATAAATCTTTATAAAAAAAATGTACCAAGTGGGGTAAAAAGAAAAGATCCAGGAGACACAACCAAAATAAGCAAAATGAAATCATGGCCAGAAAGAAAGGACATGTGTACGAAAACTGGCACTTTTTAAAGCAAGATCTATTAAATAACAGCGGTGTTAATCTCTTGGTCTTTAATTGAACGATGATTATGTAAGAAGATCACAAGGAAAGATAGGTGAAAGGTAAACGCGAACTAGTTACCGTATTTGACAACATTTTTGTCTGTCGAAATCAATTGGAATTTAAACACTTTAAACACTTCAGATAGATGTAATTGAAACAGGATCGCCCTTCCAAACACACCACACGGGCGAGCTCTAATACTTAGCCTAACTGGAGTGGAGAAAGCCTCGAAGGTGAAGGGGAAATGGGCTAGTGCGCCTCCTTTAGCATAAGTACGGCCCGCGGCCCCACCCGGAAGCGCCGGGAGGGGGCGGTGCGAAGCGGCGGTGTTTGAGCCCGGACGCGGGCCGTAGCGGCGCCGGAAGTGGCGGCGGCGGCGGGGTCGGGGGGCGGGCCCCCAGCGCGGGGCCGGAGGCCAGCGGAGCTAGCGGCCACCTTGGCCGAGCGGAGCCGTTCGGCCGCCGCCGCCATGTCGTCGGTGAGCCCCATCCAGATCCCCAGCCGCCTCCCGCTGCTGCTCACCCACGAGGGCGTGCTGCTGCCGGGGTCCACCATGCGTACGAGCGTGGACTCGGCCCGCAACCTGCAGCTGGTCAGGAGCCGCCTGCTCAAGGGCACGTCGCTGCAGAGCACCATCCTGGGCGTCATCCCCAACACGCCCGATCCGGCCAGCGACGCGCAGGACTTGCCGCCGCTGCACAGGTACCCTGGGCCCTGGCCCGCGGCTGGGCGGCGGGCGCAGCGGTGCCCGGCCTGTTCGGTACCCGTCGTGAGAGGTCGGGGTGACCCAGCCCCATCGGACCGTTCGTCACCGTCCACTAAGCAGTAAAGTCGCTGCAGTCGTTAGCAGTTGATGCCTTTTCCTCCCCATCCCCTGGTCTCCGGACCTTGGCGTCAGGCCCCGCATCTTTGTTCTTTCTCCCCGTCTTTCGGGCCGCGGAGCTGAACAGGTGTGACTGCACGGCTTCTCTCTCCGTCTCCTCCTAAACTGCATCTTCCATTAACTTTTGGTGCCTTACACCGCCGAGCCTGCCCCAGGGCCTCCCTTTGGTACTTTTTCCCCCCAAAGACCTGTTTTTGTTTATTATGCATGTAAGAACTGGGGTCTAGGCCTGAAGTGGGAGGGGGCAGCGAGAGGATTTACCGGAGATAGTGGGGAGCAGAACAGGCTAGAACTCATGAGCTCACGTCCTAGCGAGTGCTTGATAGCGCTGAGAGTTTAACTCCTGAGCCACCCACCAAGGAGGCCCTCTTTTTATTTCTTGAATGGCCTTTTCTGCTTACATTCTCCCTTGGCTCCCATTCTGGAACTTCCTAGCTCTCATATCTACTCCTTATTCTATGTTAAGGTTTCTCAAGGTCCCGCGGGATTGCCCCCCTCTTCCTCTTGTGTGATTCTGGGAGATCTCACTTTGTGCCTGTCTCTTCTGTAATTTGGCAGCTAACAGCAGCCATCACTTTGGTGTGTTATGAAGATTCTGGATCCTCTTGACTCCATGTTTGATAGCTGTGCTTCCTTACTGGACTCTCTGGCCACTTGTGATTATAGAGCACTGAAAAATGGCCCTTCCAAATTGAAATGCTAGAGTGTCTAATTATCCAGTCCTGTGTCCCTGTGACCCAGGACACCCCTTAGGCCCAGACATACCAGGAGCTTTGGTCATCCTAATGTGCTGTAACATACACATTCAATTCTGAAAATCTAATTAATTAATAAAAGTATTGTGGATTATTAAGTTGATTCATTTTATATAGATTAAATGTTGGAATGGTAATATTTTGAGTTTTGGGGGTTAAATTAAATATGAACATTTCACCTGTTCTTCTTTTATAATGTGGGTACAAAATTTTCATATATAGGTCACATATTTTTATTGGAAGATGCTGATATGTTCTCAAAAAAATGCTATTATTATCTTCAAACACACCTTCCAGGCCCTTCCCTGCCCTTAACTGTTCTTGAGATCTTTCCAATTTTTTTGAGACAGAGAAAGAGCATAGAGAATATCTTGTGCCAAAGAGAGATGGAAAGGCAAAGGTCGAAATAGAGAGAATAGGGTAGAAAGAGATAGACTGAGAGAGTGATACAGTGATCAAAGAAGATAAACCCATGCCATTTGCAACCACGTGGATGAAGCTGGAAGGGCTTATACTAAACAGATAAGTTGGAAGGAAAAAGAAATACTAGATGGTTTCACTTACAGGTGGAATATAAGGAAAATGAACAAAAGATCATGGAAAAGACAAAACCTGCAAACTGATTGTAGACCTGAAGCTAACAGCAGGGGAGTGGAAGCAGGAAGGGAGGAGCACAAGGAATGGTAGTGATAGCAGTAGTGATAGAGATACATCACCAGTGCTGTGGGAAATCTGTGGGGACTGTACTGAGGGGAGAAGTCAGATACCCCTTCTTTACCTGCAGTTATCCCTTTATAAAGTTAGAGATTCCTGACTCTGGAGTTTTGGAGGTTTTAGGGAGTAAAATCATGTGTCTGCATTTTGTTAAAGGAATGTGCCCCTTTCCTCCCGTCTTAGAACAAAATGAAAAAATCTTAAGCGCTCACTATCAGCCCACACGTGGAAGCCTCGCTCTTCTCCAGCTCAGCTCCTCTCTCATCCGCTTTGGTTATCGGGAAGCACTGCAAGTGCTTCAGGGCAGTGAACTGTGTTGGATTGGTTTTGGGTCCCCTCCATATGCCCCCCTAGACCTCACATAATTTTTTGCTTTCTGTGCCCAGGTCCCTAATTGCCTGTTGAGGTGAAAATGGTCATGATGTGATTTTTGTTTCACTGCACTGTGCAGATGTGCAAGGCGATGACCCACGGCTACCCCGTGAGCTTCAGCGTAAATTTAGTCATGTTTTAGGTTTAAATGACTATTGATATTCTGGCAACGTTTTGTTGGGTTTTTAACTATTAATATAAATTCCTGAAAAACAATAGTAACTAGTTTCTCCTGCCAGGAAGTAATTGTCCTTGACATTCCGATTGTTGCCTTTCTTTTAAATGAATAACAATGTCAAAATTTAATCATAACAATGTCAAAATTTAATCATTAAAATTAGAAAACTTTTATTGCAAGTTCTTCACAGAACCTGGCATAAGGCCCCACCGACCATATGTAGCCTAGAGTTATGGCTGCTTGAAAAGTCTGTGTAGAAAGCGTGTCTTTTCTTTTATTCCTCTAATATGACCTTCATTTAAAAAAAAAAATTAACACCGCATATATGTTGAATAACCCATAGCATTCTGCTTTGATACACAGGCCCCTTTCCCCAGTTACCTGCTTTCCAGCTGGTGGTGGAGCTCCAGGGCGCAGGGGCGAGGCTCCAGGTGCTTTTCTTCTTCACACCGTCCAGGTGACACTGTCTCAGGCACCAAGAAGCCACTGAAGTCTTCCTTGTCACACAGGCAGCAGGGCCAGACCTTGCCTTACGGGTCGCTTCCTGTGCCGTTGTCAGCAGCACGGCCCCGTTCTGCTTTTTAGTGCCCGACACTGGTATCTTTTGAAAGGAAGAGTTGGGATCATCCCTGCGGTGTAGAACTTGGCTCCCAGGCTGCGCACCTCAGGACTATACTGTGTTTCTAGTGGCTCCTGGATGATCCATTGTTGACTTAGCATGAAGGGATAATTCAGCGCCACCTCTGCAGTGTCCTTACGTGTTTGAAGAGGGTCATGTAGCTTCTTCCACCCTTGAAGTCTCCAGGGTACTTGGCTGAATTTCCTCATAATGCTCATTTCTCTATTCCTCCTCATGGTTTTTGTAGCTGCTTCATCATCTCCACGACCCCAAATTAGTTTCATTGCCATTTGTCTAATAAAAATTGAATGCTGGCCCTCCCTGGTGGCGCAGCGGGTTAAAACACAGCACTGAGAATCTAAAGCCGCTTCCGCATGAGTTCGATTCCCGCCTGCCCCGGAGG